CCATGGACATCGGGGGTCTGGAGACCGTGGTGGCCAACTCGGCCTACGTGTCGGCGCGCGGCGGCCCCGGCGGCGGCAAGGAGCGGCGCTCCAAGGCGCGGCTGCGCCTGCCCCACATCTCCCAGTGCGAGGCCCTGCGCGCCCAGCTGGGCGGCACCGCCGGCGCCCAGAACGGGGGTCCCGGAGCCCCCAACGGCGCCCCGCCCGGCCACACCCAAGATGGCGGCCAGGAGACGTCGTTCCGGTGGCAGTGCGTGGAGCAGCCCATCGGGAAGCTGCTGTTCCGGAGGTTTCTGGAAGGTTCCGCCCAGTTCGCGGCGGCCGGGGCGTTGTGGGCGGAGATCGAGGCCTTCGAGCAGTGCGAGGACGCCGAGAGGGAGGCGGCGGCCAAGAGGCTGCGGAGCCGGTTCTTCACGCCGGGAGGGTCCGAGCACTGCGGCTTCCTCAGCGCCGCCGCCACCGCGCCGCCCGCAGGTGAGGGGGGTGGGGAGCGGTGACAATATGGCGGCCGTGACGTTGACATGGCTGACACAGCTCCAATATGGCAGCCGTGACATTGACATGGCTGACAAGGCTCCAATATGGCAGCCGTGACGTTAACACAGCTGACAAGGCTCCAATATGGCAGCCGTGACGTTGACATGACTGACAAGGCTCCAATATGGCAGCTGTGACATTGACATGGCTGACAAGGCTCCAATACGGCAGCCATGACGTTGACATGGCTGACAAGGCTCCAATACGGCAGCCATGACGTTGACATGGCTGACAAGGCTCCAATACGGCAGCCATGACGTTGACATGGCTGACAAGGCTCCAATACGGCAGCCATGACGTTGACATGGCTGACATGGCTCCAATCTGGCAGCCGTGGCATTGACATGGCTGACAAGGCTCCAATACGGCAGCCATGACGTTGACATGGCTGACATGGCTCCAATATGGTGGCTGTGAAATTAATACGGCTGACAAGGCTTCAATATGGCGGCTGTGAGATTAATATGGCTGACAAGGCTCCAACATGGCGGCCACGACACCTCATTGGTAGTCATGACATCAACATGGTGGCCACAATGATCTTGGCGGCCATGACACCCCAATGGCAGCCATGATGCTGTTGGCAGCCATGACACCCCAATGGCGGCCATGCCACCCCAACAGAAGCCATGCCACCCCAGCCATGTCCATGACGACCTCGGCGGCCATGACACCCCTAACCCTCCCCGCTGCCCCTCAGGCTCCACGCTCCCGTGCGACGCCTTCGTGCCGGCGCGGCGGGAGCTGCTGGCGCACCTGGAGGCGGCGGCCTGGGGGCCGTACCGGGGCTCGCCCGAGTTCAGCCGCTTCGTGCAGTTCAAGTGGCTCGAGAGCCAGGCCGTCAACGCCGACGCCTTCGTGGAGTTCCGCGTGCTGGGCAAGGGCGGCTTCGGCGAGGTCTGCGCCTGCCAGCGCCGCGCCACCGGCAAGATGTACGCCAACAAACGCCTCAACAAGAAGCGCCTCAAGAAGCGCAAGGGATACGAGGTGGGTGTCCCCAAGGTGTCCCCAAGGGTGTCCCCAAAGTGTCCCCAAGGTGGCCCCAGGGGTGGCCCTTTGTCCCCTCTGTGCCCATGGCTGTTCCTCGGAGCGCTCAGATGTTCCTCTGTCCTCAAATTCACCCCTCGGTCCTCTCAGTGGTCCCTCAGGCTCCACGCTCCCGTGCGACGCCTTCGTGCCGGCGCGGCGGGAGCTGCTGGCGCACCTGGAGGCGGCGGCCTGGGGGCCGTACCGGGGCTCGCCCGAGTTCAGCCGCTTCGTGCAGTTCAAGTGGCTCGAGAGCCAGGCCGTCAACGCCGACGCCTTCGTGGAGTTCCGCGTGCTGGGCAAGGGCGGCTTCGGCGAGGTCTGCGCCTGCCAGCGCCGCGCCACCGGCAAGATGTACGCCAACAAACGCCTCAACAAGAAGCGCCTCAAGAAGCGCAAGGGATACGAGGTGGGTGTCCCCAAGGTGTCCCCAAGGGTGGCCCCAAGGTGGCCCCAAGGGTGGCCCCAAGGTGGCCCCAAGGGTGGCCCCAAGGTGGCCCCAAGCGTGGCCCCAAGGGTGGCCCCAAGGTGTCCCCAAGGGTGGCCCCAAGGGTGTCCCCAAGGTGTCCCCAAGGGTGGCCCCAAGGGTGTCCCCAAGGTGTCCCCAAGGTGGCCCCAAGGTGGCCCCAAGGGTGGCCCTTTGTCCCCTCTGTGCCCATGGCTGTTCCTCGGAGCGCTCAGATGTTCCTCTGTCCTCAAATTCACCCCTCGGTCCTCTCAGTGGTCCCTCTGACCCCACTCGGTCCCCTTGGATGTCCCTGTGTCCCCAAATCTGTCCCTCTGTTCCCAGATCTGCTCTTCTGTCCCCAAATCTGTCCCTCTGTCCCCTCGGATGTCCCCACAGTCCCCAGTGTCTGTCCCTCTGTTTCCAAATCTGCTCTTCTGTCCCCAAATCTGTTCCTCTGTCCCCAAATCTGTCCCCTCGGATGTCCCCTCATTCCCTGTGTCTGTCCCTTGGCGTGTGCCACCTGGGCATCCTTGACAATTCCCTGTCCCTGTCCCTGTCCCTCTCCACACTTTGTGTCCATGGTGGTGCCCAAGGGTGTCCCCAACGTGTCCCCAATGTGTCCCCACCGTGTCCCCAGGCGGCGCTGGTGGAGAAGCGGATCCTGGCGCGCGTCCACAGCCGCTTCATCGTGTCCCTGGCCTGCGCCTTCCAGACCAAGACCGACCTCTGCCTCGTCATGACCATCATGAACGGCGGCGACCTGCGGTACGTGGCTGCGGTGGCCTTGGGGACAGCGGGGTGGCCTCGGGGTGGCCTTGGAGTGGCCTTGGTGTGACCCCGGTGTGATCTTGGTGTGACCCTGGCGTGGCTTTGGAGTGGCCTTGGCACGGTCTGGCATGGCCTTGGTGTGACCTTCATGTCACCCTAATGTAACTTTGTTGTGGCCTTGATGTCACCCTGGTGTGACCTTGATGTGGCCTTGAAGTGACCCTGACATGACCTTGCCATGGCTTTGGTGTCACCTTGGTGTGACCCTGGTGTGACCTTGCCATGGCTTTGGTGTCACCTTGGTGTGACCCTGCTGTGACCTTGGCACTGTGCTGGTGCCACACCTGTTGATCGTGTCCCCGCCATGTCCCCATGTGTCCCCAGTGTCCCCAGTGTCCTTGATGTCCCCAGTGTCCCCGGTGTCCCCAGTGTCCTCCATGTCCCCAAGGTGGTCTGCGCCTGCCAGCGCCGCGCCACCGGCAAGATGTACGCCAACAAACGCCTCAACAAGAAGCGCCTCAAGAAGCGCAAGGGATACGAGGTGGGTGTCCCCAAGGTGTCCCCAAGGGTGTCCCCAAAGTGTCCCCAAGGTGGCCCCAGGGGTGGCCCTTTGTCCCCTCTGTGCCCATGGCTGTTCCTCGGAGCGCTCAGATGTTCCTCTGTCCTCAAATTCACCCCTCGGTCCTCTCAGTGGTCCCTCTGACCCCACTCGGTCCCCTTGGATGTCCCTGTGTCCCCAAATCTGTCCCTCTGTTCCCAGATCTGCTCTTCTGTCCCCAAATCTGTCCCTCTGTCCCCTCGGATGTCCCCACAGTCCCCAGTGTCTGTCCCTCTGTTTCCAAATCTGCTCTTCTGTCCCCAAATCTGTTCCTCTGTCCCCAAATCTGTCCCCTCGGATGTCCCCTCATTCCCTGTGTCTGTCCCTTGGCGTGTGCCACCTGGGCATCCTTGACAATTCCCTGTCCCTGTCCCTGTCCCTCTCCACACTTTGTGTCCATGGTGGTGCCATCCCGTGTCCCCAACGTGTCCCCACCGTGTCCCCAGGCGGCGCTGGTGGAGAAGCGGATCCTGGCGCGCGTCCACAGCCGCTTCATCGTGTCCCTGGCCTGCGCCTTCCAGACCAAGACCGACCTCTGCCTCGTCATGACCATCATGAACGGCGGCGACCTGCGGTACGTGGCTGCGGTGGCCTTGGGGACAGCGGGGTGGCCTCGGGGTGGCCTCAGGGTGGCTTTGGATTGGCCTTGGTGTGACCCTGGTGTGATCTTGGTGTGACCCTGGCGTGGCCTTGGAGTGGCCTTGGCACGGTCTGGCATGGCCTTGGTGTGACCCTGGTGTGACCTTCATGTCACCCTAATGTTACTTTGGTGTGGCCTTGATGTCACCCTGGTGTGACCTTGATGTGGCCTTGAAGTGACCCTGACATGACCTTGCCATGGCTTTGGTGTCACCTTGGTGTGACCCTGCTGTGACCTTGGCACAGTGCTGGTGCCACACCTGTTGATCGTGTCCCTGCCATGTCCCCAGTGTCCCCAGTGTCCCCAGTGTCCCCAGTGTCCCCGATGTCCCCGATGCCCCCAATGCCCCCAATGGCCCCGATGTCCCCAACGTCCCCAGTGTCCCCGATGGCCCCGATGTCCCCGATGTCCCCAGGTACCACATCTACAACGTGGACGAGGAGAACCCAGGCTTCGCGGAGCCGCGCGCGGTTTTCTACACGGCGCAGATCCTGCTGGGGCTGGAGCACCTGCACCAGCACCGCATCGTCTACCGCGACCTCAAACCCGAGAACGTCCTGCTCGACGACGCCGGTGGGGACACGGGGACACCGGGGGGACAGGGGGACACTGGGGGCATTGGGGACACTGGGGACATTGAGGACACTGGGGACATTGAGGACACTGGGGACATTGAGGACACTGGGGACATTGAGGACACTGGGGACATTGAGGACACTGGGGACATTGAGGACACTGGGGACATTGAGGACACTGGGGACATTGAGGACACTGGGGACATTGAGGACACTGGGGACATTGAGGACACTGGGGACATTGAGGACACTGGGGACATTGAGGACACTGGGGACATTGAGGACACTGGGGACATTGAGGACACTGGGGACATTGAGGACACTGGGGACATTGAGGACACTGGGGACATTGAGGACACTGGGGACATTGAGGACACTGGGGACATTGAGGACACTGGGGACATTGAGGACACTGGGGACATTGAGGACACTGGGGACATTGAGGACACTGGGGACATTGAGGACACTGGGGACATTGAGGACACTGGGGACATTGAGGACACTGGGGACATTGAGGACACTGGGGACATTGAGGACACTGGGGACATTGAGGACACTGGGGACATTGGGGACATCGGGTCCTGCTGGGGCTGGAGCTCCTACACCAGCACTGCATCCACCGCGACCTCAAACTCGAGAATGTCCTGCTCAACGACAGCGGTGGGGACACTGGGGACATTGGGGACACTGAGGAGACAGGGGGACACTGGGGATTTTGGGGACATTGTGGGGATTGGGGACATTGGAGAATGTGGGAAATGAGGGGGACACAGGGACATTGGTGGTCACTGNCCCTGTGTCCCCTGTCCCCCCAACGTCCCTGTCCCCCAGGGTTCATGGCCCCCGAGCTGCTCAAGAACGAGGACTACGATTGGTCGGTCGATTACTTCACGCTGGGGGTGACGATCTACGAGATGCTGGAGGCCAAGGGCCCCTTCCGCCGGCGGGGGGAGAAGGTGACCCCCACCCCCAGCGCCCCCCAGCACCGCCCAGTAACCCCCAGTACAGCCCAGTAACGGGGGGACCCCCAGGAACGCCAAGGAACATCTGAGGGCTTCCAAAAACCTCCCAAGGACCACCAGGAACTCCCCAAAATTCAGCTCAGGGCCCCCAGAAACCTCCCAGGACCCTCAGAAACCCCCAAGAACCTCCAAGAATCCCCCTGAGGACCTTCAGAAACTCCAGAATTTCCAATAAACCCACAAAGAACTCCCCAGGATCTTCAGAAACTTCCAAAAACCACCAAGAAACCCCCCAGGACCCTCAGAAACCCCCCAAAACATCCAAACCCCCCCCCCAGGTCCCTCAGAACCCACCAAGGAACCCCCCAGGACCTTCAGAACCCCCCAA